TACAGAACCAGAAAGTCATGGAAGAATCTCTGGAAGGTTTCTAGACTAGTGAATGACAATGTTAGTCCATTGTGAAAAAGGATCATTCAAATATAAAGATAAAAATATGCTCTAAGGGATTTTATCACATACATACATACATACATATATATATATACACACACACATTATAAAGTTTAGTTGGACTTTCTGTCATTTGAAAGGAAGGACAGGTATGGATAAATAATGTTAGAAGTATGTAAGAAACTGTAAAAATTGCTGAAAACATTGAACATTGAATAACACTTGTTAAAGTAATTTTTCTTCAAAGTGTACATTTCAAGTCTAGGTCTTTTAGCAAACAAACCTAAAAAACTCTAGACTGAATCAAAGCTGAATCATTTCCTAAAATCAAAACTGTCAAGACACAAAGCTGAAAACTTGAAACGTTCTAGGTGAATGACAGATCTGTGTCACCTTCAGTCAACCCAACCCGCACTCCCCAGGATATAGAGAATTGACTGTACTTTCTGTTGACTTTGGACAATAGGTTTCCCACCTATATTCACTCTGTTTAAGACCCTTGATGAATAGTCCTTCAAAGTGATTTCTGAAGTGTTTTTTTTTCCCTTTTGTCCAAGAACTTCAGACTGGCAGCTCATGAAGGCTAATCTTTAGTTCTACGAATCCTCTGTTATCAGCTTCCAGCTCAGACTCCTAGGTTCACTGTGCAACTGACTACTTGAAGAGCCATCAAATTGGCATTTCACCATTGCACAGTTCAGTGACTCCTAACATCTAGCCTGCATTTGTCACAACACCATTCATTCTTTCCTAAAGTATTCTAGCTCACTGGATTTTTCTGTGTAAAGAGTGGCCACCATATCTGTATGCCTGCTATACACAAGTTGTCTGAACACATTAACTTTTTATATTATATTCTTCTTAATAATTTCTTTCATGTATTTGGCTGGTGTTTATTGAAGTTCACTATTCTCTAAAACAAAATTTCAATTTCTTTATTTCTTCCTTTTTTTTTTTTTTTTTACATATCCTGAAGAATCCTCTCTGGGAGTTATTCTGAATGGGTTGATTGGTCTCACATGTAACAAAAATAAGTAATGCTCGATTCAACTGTACTAACATTTCTTTTTAATGGATATTTCCTGAAAATCTAAAATGTACTACTTGCCAATAAATTTTAGTATAGCAACAATTTGTGGATAAAATGTTCAATACATCATTTTAAATCTCTACTCAAGAAATGATAATGTGTACTTTCAAGTAGCTGTTAACGAATTAGAAATATAAATCTTTGAAATATGTAAAAATTATAAACAATATTATCAGTAGACATTATATTATTCTAAGTAATGTTTTTAAAAGTGCATAAAATCTTGAAGAGGAAATAGTAACTATATATGTAGGTATGTGCATATGCATATACATTATATGTACATCCATCTGAGGAGATATGACCCAAATTTACTTATATAAAACTTGTCATCCTGTCATCATTGATGACATTATGTTTTATGCAACTTAGAGCCATTTTTCTATTCATTAAAAATTATGCCTAAAATATGAAATTGTTTCTTTTAACTTGATGCATTTATATTTTCACACTAAATTACATTAATAGATTTTATACTTTTTTCTCTTCTTTTTAAAATATATTCATTGTTTTTAACCAGAAGTTCATATTGATATCTGATCATTTAAATGTCCATGTTTTATTTGATTCTCAAAGATTGACAATACTCATATATTAGACCAGTGGGTAAGACCTACAAAATATAAGACTATAAAAAATGATACAGAGTTGATATTCAATTACCTAATTAACGCAAATTTTCTATCTATTCTATCTATCAATCTATCTATCTATCTGTCATCTATCCATATACAAGAACTTTTATCCTGTTTTTTTTCTACGCTTCATACAATGCTTAGTCATCTCAGTGCTTTTTGTAAAAATGCCATGCCACTTCACTTCCCTGAGCCTGTTTCATGAAGGCAGATAATTACTTTGTTTAAAGTTTTATGGTCTGTATTAGTTACACAGCTTTTTGTTATAAGAAACTGAAATACTAACATAAATTGACTGAAAAAAAAGTTGGAGAGAGAACATATTAACTCATATAAGTGTCCAAGTCAGTAGATTTGGTTTCAGACAAAGCTTTATAACTCAAAAGATGTGGACAAGATTCTCTCTCTCCTTCTGTCAGTCTCCCTCCATCCCTAGCTCGCTCTCTCGCTCTCTCTCTCCCTTTCCCTCCCTCCCCCTCATTCACTTATCCTTCCTTGTTGGCTCCATTCTTAAGTAAGGCTATACTCTCAAGGTTCCAAGAAAGCTACCGAAAATTCCCAAGGCTACGTACTTACTTGTTCAGCTCTAGTGTTATAGTGAGTCATTGCCAAAAGTCTATAAATTGAGTCTAGGGCATTTTTGGATAAAATTAGATCTTGAACCAAACATAATATGCTCGATGTAATATGTCAATAAACTTGAGCTAATTGGAATATGTTTCTGTAGCTTGGGTTGTGGTGTGGTCAAACCTACTCACACTATATTGCTGAGTAATGTAGGCAACAGTCCAAAATGGAAGAGGGAGGTATGATTTGCAAGAAAGCAACTATGGTAGGCAAATTTCACTACACTGTTGTCCAGACTTCAGAGAGTTCTAATTCAGTTTTATTTGATAACCCTGACATAGGGTTAAAAAGGTAAGAAATAATTAGTTGATTTGCACACATATTTAATACACTTTTGTCTGAACTTCTGAGTGAAGATGTTCCTATACTAAAGCTCAAGACTAAATTTAGATCACTAAACAGATATTAAAACTATTTTTTAATCCAGAAACTATAAGCATTGCTCTCATTGCTCAAAAATCAAGTGTCTCATTTTGTATCTTTTTCATGTTCTATCCTGATGTTTATCGTAGTGAGCAACCAATGCGTTTACGTGCTTATGAGAAAACTTACAAGTTAATTACCTTGGCTGTATCATGAGTATTATTGTCTAAAACAATGGGGTAAAAGGTCATTATCCTATATTTACGTATAGTTTAAATTTGACAATTCAGACTGCTCAATCAGTATTTGGAAAATCTAAATGTAATATTTTGTATTAAAATTATAAAAGAAGGACCATTATAACATGCACTATGATCTTAATTTAAATAAATCTGTTTGAATTTTTCTAAAATCAATGATAATTACTATACCCATGAGAAAATGTTGGTATGGCATAATTTCTTGCAAAGCAGGCCTGTCTTGTTGCCTCTTTAAACTAGAGGTTTTGGGGGTTTTTTAAAGATTTTATTTATTTACTTTTAGAGAGAAGGGAAGGGAGAAAGAGAAGGAGAGAAACATCGATGTGTGAGAGACACAGCAATCAGTTGCCTCTCACACACCCTCAACTAGGGACCCAGCCCACAACCCAGACATGTGCCCTGACTGGGAATCAAACTGGCAAACCTTAGCTTCTCAGGTCAGCACTCAATCCACTGAGCCTCACCAGTCAGGGCTAACGCTAGATTTTTAAACACATTTCAATACATTTCTTAATATTTCTTCTAAGCTTCATATACGTTGCTAAATTATTGCAGAGGTGTAGCTGGAGAGTGCTATTTTGCTTAGTTATGCCATTATTATGCAGACATTTGACATAGCATGGAGAATGTTGACATAATTATTTGATAAGGAAGGTAGTTGTTAATATAAAATTTTACAGTATACAAAAGTACTCAGATGTACATCATGATTTAATTCTCAGAACAACTTGAGATACTAGGAAGTCAGATACCCTTCTCTCATTGCAGACACTGAGGTTCCAGGCAGAGAGGAGGTATATGGTGCCAGCGTGGAGACTTTCAGCTCACTGAGGGCAGGACAGCAGGAACACAGAGGGGTTCTGAATATTTTTGGATTAATCAGTTAATTAAACCTGACCTTAAATCTAGTCTTTTAGAAGTCTAGTGCTTTCTTTACAACTGAATTATTATTACAGCATTGTTAACATATTTTAACAAATAGGAACCCTTTGTGTACTCAAAATAAAAGACAGAAAAACAAAAAACAAAACAAAAACTCCTCAAGGACTTCATTTCACTTTGGGGACACTGGTTTATCATTGTTATTTATATTTCCCACTTTGATCAATCTGTTTAGGAGGCTCTCAATCTAGAGGACTTTGAAAATCTACTACTAGAGGGAAATTCTGAATGTATTCAGATGTTTTTTAGGCTTCTTCAAATCATTTTTTATGCTTTTGTAGTCGAGAGGAAAACAGATGAGATAAAAAAAGAGTAGTTGAGCCTCCAGGTCTAGCCACAAAAACAGAGTCCCCCAAGTTGCATTTCACAGAGAATGGATACAAGTTTAACAATACGTGAAAGAGAATTTCCTGTTTGGAACTCTAATGCAGAGGCTCAAGGCAGAAATCAGCGGCAGCATAGTTTTCACCCTACCACGGGTAGCTTAACTGCTTCAGTTTTATCCTACGTGGCCCAACAAGGCCTGACGATCTGCACCGCTGAACAGAAGCATCTATCCAGCAATGGTGCGTGAAGACAGAGGGGTTTTTAGTCAATTGCAGGAATTAGGCTTTAATGCGTTCTATGAAGGGACTTCATCCCCCAGCACCTGACTACTGTCCGCTGAATCTTGGCAGGCAACAAGACTGCTGAAGCTGCAACTGGGAAGCTATGTGAAGCAGATTTTCATGAAACAACAAAATGCTTTTTTCATAAAGCTGCTTTTCTTTATTGCAGTTCAAAATGTGTCTCCTCTTTTTTTCAGCCTCTCAGTTTGCTCAACTCTCATTGTTGATCAAATTACCTTCCAAAAATTCCCCTTAAAGAAACAGAGGATCATAAATGCTCATTTCATCAAAAAATAAATGTTTTTTTTAAAGCACAATCCTAAACATGTCAATTGAAGAGATTAAAAGTAATCATGTTCCTTAAAAAAAAAAAAGAACAAACTACAAGACAGAAAGACATTAAATACATTACCATTATGTGTAAGTCCTAGAGGGGTACAGGCACCATGTTTGGTTCCATCTTTCGATGAAGAGATCAGTTTTGCAACGAGTGCCGCTGAGACAGGCTGCACTAGTAGGGAGGTGAGGTTCGATCGGTTTTGCCTCAAGCTTCCAACTGTATTAAAGACATAAAGGGACAGAATCCTTTGTCAAGAGAAATTAAAAACACTTAAGGAAAGTTTTTTTCATCAGTATTTAAATTATGAGTGGTAAGTTTATTTTGTTCATTTATTTGCTCCTTAGTTATATCTGTGTACTTAATGATCTGAGGTACTTAATAAAAATTCAATCCAAATACTATTATGTATCCTAATTAACGCTAGCAGATTGTAAACACACACTTACCTCCATTCTCCACTGAAATGACAATAAAGGAATAAAAAAAGTATACATCCACAGGGGCCAAGAAATAAAAGAGACAATAAGACTCTACAAGCTGAATAATTGTCAACTGAAATAACAGATATAGGAGACTAAAGCCTAAGCCAGTAGGGAGGGGAAGCTGAAAAACAATGCAGTTCGCACCACAGAACCCAGAAAGGATTAGACAACACCAGCAACTTATTCAAGTAGTGGTAAAAGAGGGCCTGGAAATAGGAGGGTTTGCTGACATTCTGACTGTGAGGGGGACCTTGCCTCCTGAGCCCCCCACTCAGCCTGTCAACAAGAACAGCGCCTGTTTTTCCCGGTTTCATTCCAGCAGAACACTGAAAGCGGGATGCGGAGCAGAGAGACACCAGATAAAGTGGATGGTGTGCCTCATACTTAAAATGGGATGGTGTTATGATTGCTGAGGCTCTTCAGATATTTCGGTGTCCTGGTGCTTAGAATACTTCCTTCCAGTTAGGACAATAGAAAATTTTCTTCTAGTAAATATGACTAGGTCAATGGAGAATATATAAAAATACATACGGTCTGGAAGTCTACCAATAAAACAAGTCACCCAAAACAAACCTATGTTAAGACCCATCAGACAATAAATTCCAACCATACAAAGAACTTCAAATCAACTTAATTAATTTTGTGACTCTTAAGTGGATATTCTCATCCAAGGACAATGCTAAATAAAATGGCAGGGGCAGCAGACGTACTGAGCATAGGGTTATGGGGTCAGGAGGCTCAGGGAGGAGATTTCCAGAAAGACAAAAATAACAGAATAGTGGCTACTGTTAATTTATTGGGAGAACATTTACAGTAAGATCAGAAGGTTAAAATTTGAAGAATTTAGAGATACAAAGAAAAATAAGAAATCTATAAAATGAGACAACTGTTAGATTTAAAGAGAATAAAAGTTTTTCAATAAAGAAATGTAATAATTGCATAATATAAATATTTACATAATCATAATACTATAATCCATGGCCTTTTAACACAAAGTTATATTATTCTATAGGAAAAAAATACAAATTCAAGGGTGAGATACATGGAAACTCATGAAAGAAAATTAAATATTTTTCTTCCATAGTGGTAAGTCAATATAATAGGTAAAACTGAAATAGGAATTCAACTCTTTAAAATGCTCTTTCTTTAAAAGATTTTATTTATTTAATTTTAGAGAGAAGGGAAGGGACGAAGAGAGGGAGAGAAAAATCAATATGTGGTTGCCTCTTGTGTGCGCCCTACTGGGGACCTGGCCCACAACCCAGGCCTGTGCCCTCACTGGGAATCTAACTGGCGACCCTTTGGTTCACAGGCAGGCACTCAATCCACTGATCCGCTCCAGCCAGGGCTTTAAAATGATCTTGAGGCAGAGAAAGGTAAATATAAAAGTAGTTAACAATTGAAAATGTTGAAAGCAATGAAGTATTTGCCTTTGGAAAATAGAGTTGAAAGGATGCAAGAAGTATAGGAGAAGGTGACATTCATCAAGCTGGTTATGATTTGTATACTTCTTTCTGTATTTGTTATACATAATAAAATGTTAAAGTATATGTGAATACATGCATGTAAAAATAAAAGACTATTAAGAGAGGTTATATTTGAGCATTATGGCCAGTTTTTAAAATTTTATTTTCTTTGTTCTTTTCTATAATGATCATGGGTTCCTTGTTAAAAAAAAAAAAAAAGGACATAAAAGAGAGACAAAGAATAAAAAATAGTTTTATAAATTAAGCTTTGTAAGAATATTTGACAATATTCCTCTCTAAGTGTGAGGGAAAAAAATAAATACTTGTGATAACAAAAGTAAGGGAAAATATATAACTATTCGGAGTAAAGAAAATGGAGAGAATAAACTAAACTGTGCTTAAGGAAAGAAGTAAAAGATAGCTTATTCAGTTTATATATTTATCTTGACTCAGAAAAAGAAATACACAACAGAATGTCTTTATTGGACAGCCAATAATGTTTGTGAACACAGCTATATTTTTCAGAACTTTTATTAGGGAAAATAATTGCCAAAGGTTTTCTCAGAATTTAATTTGATAAGACTGCAGGGGGTACAGCATTCAACGATACTGGTTATCCAGGCTCCAGGAGGCAAATTATAAATAAGAAAATACATTACAGAAATTTTTCCTTAATCCATCAACTGAAAAACCACAAGGTTAAAAAATGATATTTAGCTTAGGCCTGTGGCAAGTATAGAAGCCATGGCTTTAAAGAAAAAAATAATGAAGATTCAAGCTTAGAATCGTTTTTGTTATATAAGCACTCTGCACCCTCATAATTTAGTAAGACCTTTTATATGGATGTACGGCGATGCATTTTTCCATAGTGCAGCTCATTGCTCCCTAATCAATTTCTTGTCATAGTACCAACACTGGCTATGCTATTTGCAGAGCCCATAACAAAATGACTGCATAGAACTTCCCAGTCAAAAAGTATGAAGAATTTCAATATGGCAGTAGCAGAGAGTTAAATTAGCTGTGGAACCACCTAAATGGGAGTGTCCTGGAGATTATACAGGTTGCATGCCCATGAACCAGGTCCTGGTTCACACAGAAGATGCTAATAGCAATACAACTTGATGAGATAAACTAAAGGGGACTCTCAGACCACAAGAAAATTGTCCTTAGCCGCAAATGACCCGCCCTGAGTCTGTTGCTCTTGCTGCACTTGGAGACATAGTGATAAATATCTCAAGGTATAAACAGCATGCACACCAGCTGGAAAGCCTTGGTATAGCCATTGCCTTTGCTTCTCCCAGAATGTAGTATCTTCCTCAGTCATTACCTTTGAAAGTTTTAGTGTACACGAGACAATAAAATACAGTGGTCTCCCCTTATCTGCTGTGTTACTTTTTGAAGTTTAAGTTACCCACAATCAACTGAGGTCTGAAAATATTAAATGGAAAGTTCCAGATATTTAAAAAATTGATAAGTTTTAAATTTCACACCAATCTGAGTAGAATAATGAAATTTCTCACATCCCTCCGCATCCCACCACAGGACGTGATTCGTCTCTGTGCAGCATATCCACACTATACACACTACTCTCCTGTTAGTCACTTAGTACTAGTCTTGGTTATCAGATCAGTTATCAGAGAGAGAGACCATATTCACTAGACCTTTCTTACAACATATTGTTATGATTCTATTATATTATTATTATTGTTAATCTCGTAGTGTTCCCAATTCATAAATTAAACTTTTTGATAGGTATGTGTGTATAGGAAAAAAAATAACATCACATATATGAGGTTTGGTAATATCTGCAGTCTCAGGTATCCGCTGGGGGTCTTAGAATATATCCCCCAAGAATGGGGGGAATACAGTAGTATTTATGAGAAATGGGCAATCTGTTATTTTGAAGTTTTCATGGATGTTGGGTGTTGACACATTACCAACACAATATGAAACTTCTTAAAAATCTGCATAATTTTACCTTTCCCAAGTTCAAATACTGATCTCTTTAGTTTGCCATTCAAGACTCCTTACAGTCTGAGACATATTTCCAACATTATTTCCCATCATTCCTCTCCATCTTATCCTAAAACTTTAGCTGTCCCCCTACATGTTCTGCAATTTCCATCCTCTACGTTCTTGCTTAAGCCCTTCCTTCCATTCTACTTGCTCTTCTCTTGCATCACACACATCTGACCCCAACTCACAAGTCGCTTCCTACAAGCTTTCTCTGACACCCTGTGCTCTGTGTGATATACCTGTACCTTTTTTTGTGGTGTTCACCATTTCTAATTAACATTATCATTGCATGAAAACATTTTGCTTTCCCTTCTTAATTCTATATTCCCTGAAGGCAAATCCCAAGCCTTCTCCCTCATTGTGTGATACTCAAAACCTCCCAGATTGCCAGGAACATAACAGGAGCTCCATAATTAATGGAAAGACAAAAAAAAAAGAATAAAAATTCTTTGAAAAATAGTTTCAATGACTCTATTTTACTGGTTTTTTGAATGACTAGAAAATGGAGCAGAGGTACAAGCAAAGATTAAATTATGATTTTATTAATCCCCTGCTTGCTACATGTTTATGATTTCTCCCCACCTAATTGCCCTCCCACAGCAGACATATTGCATAGGTTTTCAAAACCACCCATCCCCATCAACTCACTGATTAACTTGCTCTAAAGTTACCTTTTGTGGGGAAAAAATAGTTCCATAAATAAAATCATCTTTGAGATATATTTATCTGTTAATAAAAGATCAATAGTTGCATTCCCTTTTCCTCTAAAATGTGCTATTAATCATATGAAACAATACATTTAAAAGTTAAATATGAAAAAAGTTAAATATGCATGAACCTTAAACCATAACTGAACATACACCAATCTTTGATTTGTTGTGCTGTATAACTAACATAATTGCATTACTTTTGAAATACCTGAAGGAAGTGGTTCATTAATTTTTCACCTTCAGCTTAATGGAAATTTGACAAACAGTTCACTTCTGAGAGCTGGTACTAAAAGCAGGACTATACAGGACACTAAGGGGCTTTGAATAAAATCAAACACATGTACACTTTTTATTCAGCTATATTTTAAAACATTAATTAACTATAAGAATCCATTAGATAGGAGATGAAAATCAGGAAGATTGCATACTAGATGAAAAATGTGCAATACTGAAAAGATTTTGACATTACATTCTAGCACTCTTTTAGATTGGAGCATTTATATCATATCCTCTACATTGTGTTTGCTCAATAAAGTCTGATT